TCATTCATTCTTTTTTCCTAGTTTTCCATTCGGATTACTGTGTCTACTGCAATATTCTAGACACCCAAATTAGCCCTTCCTTTATCGATCGCTCAATCTCGGACACTCTGCCAAAGGCTAGTTGCTTAGAGCTAGAGGCTGAGGGTGGCTTCTGCGCAGCCAACCACTCCTCCCTCCCATCACCTGAAGTCCAATATGGACTAAATCACCAGCACCTAACGGGCATAGCTAATACTACTATCTTTACAACAGACATCGTGAATAAAGCTAAAACTACATGCTGCACGCAGGAGCCTAATGTCACTGATTTTGGACTCAGTCATTGCGGCGTCCCGGTAAATCATCTCGTTAACAAGATTGCGAATTCGAGAATCTTCATTTCAAGTCGCCAGAAAACCTATCTTCGAACATGTTGCAGTCATGAAAATAGAGGAGGCCGGGTTATTGATGGAGTTGATGTTTCCTTTGCTGGTAGGAGCAATAGCTACGTGAATTTGAGCGAGTGTGATACTGGTTCTACAAATAATCCTCACTCTGAGTGCTTGCGAGTTCCTGTTTCTTTTCTTTCTACACAATCACATGTTCCAATTCATCTGACTTCACCGGATTTGAAACCAGTAGCGCATACTCCGGGGCATGAAATAGAAGATAGGCCTGTGAAGGTTCATTTTCAACATTCTCAGGAATACCTTCATAAACCTTGTAACGACCCGCCATCGGCACATACAGCGATACCTTATACCGATAACCAACCGTCACTGCTTTGCTTACCTCGGACGAGGGCCTCTTCTTTCTCTTCTCCAGAAGTACTCGATGACCTGAATGTGGGAACTGAACTAGTATGTGATAGGCTTGGACAAGCTTCTGTACAAAGACAGGCGATACGCAGCTACGCAAAGTGAGTGAGCATAGTCTGCCTTATTTTGATGAGATCATACGCGTTGACTTATTAGAGAAACTTAAGTGGAAACGCTTTGCTTGCCAATGTTGCTATTGGCTAGATGAGGGGCATAAAGCCATGTAGATTTTAATGGTCATACCCAACTAGCTGAAT